CAATGATTTCCATATTCAAGAACTAAAAGATAATTTTTTGTATTTGGGTTTTGTGATATTCCATATATTTTAGGAGGATTACAAGTAAAATCGTCCTCATCTATTACAATATCATATGGTTTAATTTGCTAAAATATAAAAGATTTTTATTATACACATGTAATAAGGAATCATAAATATTATAAATGAATTTGAAATTTTATACCTCATTTAAAAACTCTTCAGTAATATCTTGTGAATTATGTAAATATTTTAAAGCAACTTTAATATTAGGTATTCTTTTCCATTTATAATAATCATGTTGCAATGGACCATTCATCCAATTTGCTAAATATAATGTAAAAAAATCACCTTGAACTATTTCTTTAATATTATTAAATTGATTATATGGTATCCATTCAACTACTGTATTATTATACTTTTCAATTCTTAATTGCATACATTGAATAACTTCATCAATTATTTCATTTCCACTAGTCCAATTTACAAAATTTTGTTTTAAATTATTTATTTGACATGAATTGCACCATTTATAATTTAAATCTTTATACATTTTACCACAGTTTTCACAATGCCAATCTTGAAGTACTATAATATAATCTTTTGAATCTGGGTTTTGAGATATTCCATATACTTTGACGATATTGTTAAAACGATTTAATCCATAATTTTTTGAAAAAAGTTTAGATGCTTCAATGACACAATCCCTTATACGTTTTTCAGTAATATATGTTTTAATCTGTAAAATATAAGAAAAATCATTAACACTAAGTATTTATATTGAATTATAAAGAAACCAGAAATTCATACTTCATTTAAAAATTCATCAGTAGTATACTGTAAATTATCTAAGCAAATTAAAGTAACTTTTTCATTAGGCTTTCTTTCCCATTCCATTTTATCATAATTATAACATAATGGACCATTTACAAATATTGCTGAATTACTTTCATGTAATGCTTTGATATTATTAAACTGGTTTAATGGTATCCATTCAATTATTGTGTCATTTAACCTATTAATTTCTAGTTGCATTTGTTGTATGAATTCGTCAATTTTTTCATTTTCACTAGTCCAGTTTGTAAAATTTTGTTTTAAATCATTAATTAAACATTGCTTGCACCATTTATATTTTATATTTTTATATATATTATTACAGATTCCACAATAAACATTTTGAAGTACTATAATATAATCATTTGTAGCTGGGCTTTGAGATATTCCATATATTTTAATAATTTTATCATATTCAGCAAAATATGATTTAATCTGTTATGATATAAAAGTTATTTTAATAAAAGCACTTAATTACAAAAAAAATTAAAATTTTATACCTCATTTAGAAATTCATTATTAATATCATTATTTTGTGAATTACTCAAATATTTTAAAGCAACTTCCTTATTAGGTATTCTTTTCTGTTCCATTTTATCATAATTATATTCTAATAAACCATCTTTCCAAATTGCTGAATATAATGGAGCAGAATCATCTTTGCCTATTTTTTTGATATCAACAAACTGTTTAAAAGGTATCCATTCAATTATAACATCATTATGCTTATTAATTTTTAATTGCATTTCTTGAATTAATTCATCGATTTTTTCGTTACCGCTGGTCCAGTTTGTAAAATTTTGTTTTAAATCATTTATTTGACATGGTTCACACCATTTATAATTAATTTTTGTGTATATTTCACCACATTTTTTACATGTAATATCATCTTGAGATTTCATTGTGATTTCAAGTTGTTTTCTTCGGAAGAGAAATTTGTTTAATATTATGATCGGCACAAAAAATGCATCATACAAATTACGTTTGATGTGCGACCGATCAACAAATTAATGACTTACACCAACTTTATTTGTGAGACAAATATAAATCTTGATATGCAAAAAAAATTTCATTTATAACAATTTTAAGCACCTTTAACAAAAATGTAAATAATGATTTTTTTTTTTAAGATAAAATATTAGTTGATTATTATTAACAAAGAATTTAAATTTATCTAATAATATAAAAATAAGAACTTTTTCTGAATTTTTATTTTCGATCCGGATAGAAACCGTTATCCGGATAAACTAAAAAAAAAAATTGTACGGTTTTTATCCGGATTATCCGACTTAGAGGATAGATACCGAATCTGGAGTTAGAGTTTCGAACCGGATTTATTTTTTGAATTCGGATTGGAAACGAATAAATCCGGTTACCTTCGGTTTAATCCGGATATAATAAATCTGTTTTAATTTCGGCCAGATTAATTATTAAATTTTAAATAAAACACGCAGAGGCATTGCAAAGCACCCTATTACGTCATTTACATAAGTTTTGATTAGTTATTTGTTTAATAATACTTTTTTTGCAACATTTCTAACAAACTGAAACGTTTTTTTTCTCACCATTAGACACGAATCCAGGCTGCTAAGTGGGGAAGGGAGGATTGGACGCAAACCCTTTAGACGCGAACCATGGGGAAGGAGTTGAGGAAGGAAATTTCTTATAATTAAGTAATGTTCCTAATAAAACATTTATTTCTTTTTGTAGAAGTACCATTAACACAAACACAAGGTAAATAGGAAAGGGTGAAAATTTTTAATTATTTTGAAGAAATGTTTTTAACGAAACATTTCTTTTTTCTTCTGTAGGAATACTGTTAAATGTTTAGCCGATCAAAAAATATTAAATTTGCAGGGTTGGGGGAAAATTGAATTATTATATAATAAAAAAATCATATTTGCAGAAATTTCATACGCACAAAAAGCATAATTGACCGGCATAATTCTGGCCAAATTATAAATTTGACCAGAATTATAATTTCCATTTAGGAAATTAAATGCAAAAAAGGATATGATCGGCATAGCCGTTGTTATAATTCTGGCCAAAATTATAATTTGGCCAGAATTACTGCCGATCAATAATAATCTTTGCTATGATAAACCGGATATAATAAAACCGAATATAATAAATCCGGATGAAACGAATCCGAAGCAACCAAATCTCTCCGGTTTTAAATCCGAACCGGGAGAATCCGGATTTAAATCCGAATGTCGAAGGTCGGATCCAAACTCGGTTTCAATAAATAAAATTGGTATCATTAGCTTAATCAAATTCGTATTACAAATTTAACGTGTGAAAAAAAATAAATTTTTAATTTCTTTCAGCACTATGAATTTTATCTGAATTATATTAGAAGTTTCAATTTTTGAAATCTTAGAAATGTAAATATTTTTGGCACTTGCACAAAATGTAATATGTATCAGTTCGTCGGAAATGTCACATGAGTTGACGATCATTAATAAATAAAGTTTGTGTAACCTATCATGCCAATCAATCTTTTAAGTAAATTAAGCTATATATATAATAAAAAAAAAAAAAAAAAAATTTACCGTTTATTCCTTATATGCTTTTCGACAATTTTTTAAAATTTTTTTTAGTTATTTTAATATTTAAAATAAAAATATTATCTAAACTTTACACACTTTTTTACCTACATGTCGATGATTGCACTTTTAAACGTACTTGAAAGCTCGTAAATACTACCCAGATATTTGTATTTCGTAGCTATTTTTCGTTTTACGTAAAAAAAAATTGACGTTTTGACTGCTGATTTTGTAAAAACTGCAAAATTTCGTTTTTGTATATATGATAACAAGGTAAAACATATATTAAATCAAGAATAACTTGTTTATTTAACTTTGTAAATATTATACAATAATAATACATGAATTTATTTGATTTAATTATTATTTATTAATACGATGATTCCACCAACCATATACCCTTTTCTTATCCCATTCAGCTCCAAGTAATTGAAGCGTCTCGTCATATATATGGCTTGGAATCTTTTCATAAGCCAACAGACGTTCCAGTATTTGCTCTTCATGCGCAAGTACTTTTCTTCGTCTTTTGGAAGTCTGGTTATTATGGTCATCAAAACGTAGCTAAAGTAGCAGATGTGTAGGAGATTAGGCATGATTTAAGTCCACACAAAGTATAATTTTAGCTTTTCTCGCTACTAATCACATCACTTTACCAATCGAAGAATTTGAAAATGGTGTTATTTATGAAAGGAGTGAATACAAGGAAAAACCAAAAAAATATGGAAAACATGGAAAACATGGAAAAGTCGGAAAACTTGGAAAATATGATGTCTAAAATATGAACTTGGAAACTTGGAAAATTCAGGAAATTAGGCAAATTTTGGAAATTTGGAAAATTTGGAAAATTTGGAAACTCGGTAAATTTGGAAAAAGGAAAAATGGATTCCGAAGATTATAAAGACAAACCAAAATATACTAAAACTAAATACTAGATTTTATTTTCTTTATTTTTTTAGTCAAAATGTTTTATAACGTTTATCCAATTGGTCAAATTATGTTTTTTTTTATTCAAGTATATATTGATAGCTTTTATCGAATTGAAGAGTTTAGTTACATCATTTAGAATTTTTAAATAAATCACAAAATTTTGTCAATTTTTAATGTGTCGTTAAATTTTTTTTTTTTTTTTTACAATTATCTTTTGTGCCGTGAAATTGGATCTTTAAAAAATAACTTTCTATTTTTCTTTTACTTAGCTACAATTATGAGTAAATTTTATTATTAATATATATATATATATATACTGAAGTCAATAAAATTTTTGCTTTCAACTTTCAACTTTAAAAGGTCATCATAGTCTCGTTTTTTTCATTTAAACTTTGAAAATTTTAGTCGGCCTATAGAGAAAAGGATTACAAAATATTCGTGAGGAGTGAAAATCTCATAAAAAATGTGTTAAAAAGATATTCATATTGTTATTATTTATTAAAAAAATTATTAATTAATTTATTACAAGTAAATACGAAACTTTTAATAAATAAATATAAAGATATAAATAAATATGAAGATATAAATAAATATAGAGATATAAATATACAAATAAATTATAAAGATACAAATAAATGAAGGTTTCTAAGGTTTCTTAGATTTTTTTAATACTAAATAAATGTGATGTACTTTTTTTTTTAACAAATAATTTTTTTTTTTATAGAGGTTACCATAATTATATCGTAGATAATAAGAAATTCTGGCTGAAATCTAGATCGGACTGGGCCGGGTTTCAAATTATGGACTTGTTCAGTATTCCAATCTAGAAGACCGTTAAATTAGTTACACAGATTTGTTAAATTTAAATCATAAATAACTCCTTCAATCCCCAATTACAAAATACAAATACAAATAAAATAAATAATTACATAATAAGAATAAATATATTGATTTTACGTAATCTGAGCTTAATTACTTTTATCTATAATAAAAAATAGTTTAATTAAAATTAATAAATCAAAAAATCACACGCAAAATTTTGTTAGCATTATAAAATAAATTTAAATTATTATAGTATGTTATATATGTTTACCTGAATAATCTATTTCAGTATTATCAACATTTTTTGGTTCTGGAAGATTTTTAAAATCTAAAAGTTTACTTGTATAAACTGCTTGAGGATGTGTCACACATGATATACTAGTATCATTAGATATTAAAGGTAACTTTTTATTAATTTCATCTGCTTCTTTAGCTTGTTTATAAATTACAGAATTCGCTTTATCATCATCAATCCATAAATCATAAATTAAGTATCGTAATTCACTTGCATTAGGTCGTTTTAAAGGGTCAGCATCCCAACATCGATTAATAATGTCAAAAATTAATTGAGGAATTCTATAATTAGACTTTGGCCTCAAACCATTACAAATTTTCATTGCTAGGGATTCATCATGAGCTATATCATAATAAGGAGGGAAACCTGTACAAATTTCATATGCTATTATTCCATATTCATAAATATCACTTTTTTGAGTATATTCTTTTCCTCTTAAAACTTCTGGAGCTACATAAGGTAATACTCCATATATTTTTTTATTACTATTTTTAGGGGATTTGACATTTGCTGGTTGACATAATCCCAAATCAGTAATATAAGCATTATTATTAAAATTGCTTAATATATTCCCACAATGAAAATTCTGATGAATTAATCCTTTATTATGAATATACTGAAGATTAGTTGCAATAGTATGTAAACTATCCAACTTTTGAAACCAATTCAGTGAAGTGAAGTTGTTATTTAAATGTTGTCTTAAACTACCTTTTTTTAATTCCATTACCATCATAAAATTATTTGTTTTTGGATCTTTGGTAATGCCAAAACAACGAACTATGAAACTTGTATTATATAATAAAATGCTTGATTCAACCTTAAAAGAAAAAAATTATAAATATTATTTAACATTTATTTTAATAATACTAAAATATATAAAAAATATCTTACTTCTTTTAAAAAATCTGCTTTAATATTTTGTGAATTATGTAAGCACTTTAAAGCGACTTTTGTTTTGTCATCCCGGTCCCATTGATTATTGTAATAATTCCATATAGGACCATCTTTCCAAACTGCTTTAAAAGTAGTTCCAAATCCCCCTTTTGCTAAATATTCAACATCTTCAAATTTATCATATTCAATCCACTCTATGATATGATGTTTAACTTTAGCTTTTAATTGTGCTTTTTGAATAAATTTATCAACTTCATGATTTCCACTTGTCCAATTTTTGAAATTTTGTTTAAAATGTTGTGAATTACATGGCCAACAATATCGATAGTTAGTTTTAGGTTGATTACAATTATCACATAAACCATATTCTTTATAACGTTTTTTTAATTCTTTGTCTATTATTAGTTTATCAATTAACGATTCTTGTTCTTCAGTCAAAAAAAACCGATTTAAATCTTTTATTTGTTCAATTACATCATCACTTAGTTTATTATCAACTAACGATTTTTGTTCTTTAGTCAAACGATGACGATTAAAATCTTTTATTTTCTCAAATACAAGTTTAATTTTGTCCATTTCAATAAATAATTTATTTAAAAAAATATATTATTAATTCGTATAAAATAGTGGTGACAAACTAATAATTAGTTTAACGTCGAAAAATTTGAAGGGGGGGTGAGGGAATAATTTAAACAAATATGATATTTAAACATATTAAATTTTCGGAAGTTTTCGGTAAAATCGGAAATATTCGGTACACCCAATTTCAGAAAAGAGAGGGGGTGCTTTAAACATATGTGAACATATGTGTTTAAATAAATTAAATTATTTAATTATTTTAAAAATTTTCAAAAATAAAGGAGAACGTTAAACAAAAAATTAATTTGGAATGGAAATGATTTCAAGATCGACAATAAAATTATGAAAAAAAGACTAGTTAAAATACACAAAAATCTGATCGGCAATTAAATTGATTAAATGACGAAATTAATTAAAATTAATAAGAATTTTCTAACTATTAGGGGTGATGATCACCGGTGACTGAATTATGACGATCGACCAGCATTAAAAAAATATAGTGCCGGTAAAAATTGATAATTCTGGCCAACGGTGATGATCGTCCCCAGTGATATTTGAAGTAAAAATCAATTAATAAAATAGATGAATAATTACTAAAATATCGTTATAAATAATATGATTTAAACATTTCTCAACTGGCAAATCTATCATATTCAATCCATTCTCTAAATTTTACAAAATCATATTGTAATAATATATAAATTTTTTAATTATCACAAAAATTATTAATTTAAACGTTCTTTTAGAGCTGAATGTGTGTAAAACATCACATAATTGGTAATTCACAAATTAATCTTTTCCAAAGTGAGTATTAGCTTTCAAACTTTCAATTTTTAATATATTTTAATTCTTTATAATATTTCCGCTAGAATATGCAAACTCCATGAGATGAGGAATTTACCGGTGAAACTATTCTGTTTATTATAAGTTAAAATAATTTGATTGGCTGTCAGGGTCACGTATACGTTTGGTCAACCTGTGGATTTTTATTTTTTACTTAATAAATATTTTTTTTCAATTCTTACAGATCGGGAAATTTAATAAATAGCTTCAGATCAAAAACATCTTTCACTAATACAACTCATTAATAAAATAGATTAATACCTGTCTCTTATACACATCTAGATGTGTATAAGAGACTAGTGTTCAGTGTCCGGATTACAACATTTGAGCGTTGGTTAAACCGAACTTCTAACTTGGAGGCGTAATATTAAATATTACGTGATCTAGTATAAAAGCTGTCTCTTATACACATCTAGATGTGTATAAGAGACAGGCGTAATATTAAATATTACGTGATCTAGTATAAAAGTATAAAAAGCGTAAACAATTGTTCACGCCAATCACTTTTGCCAAGAAAAAAATATGATACATGCGAAATTCCATACTAATACAATAATTGGACAAGTATCCAAAATTTTATTAATACAGATAAAAATAAATTTCATGTTTGACGATCTATACCTGTATATTTTACTACATTTCTCTTTCTATCTACTCAATATCATATTCGAACTTCGAAGGGAACGTATCTTTTTTAACTTATTTTTTGTATAGGTGGTACCGTGGTAGGGACTCCCATATTAGCCTTTTCTTAGGTGCTAGTCGCGATGATTTTTTTGTGGCGGTATTAAAGTGAATTTTGTGTGCTAATTTGTTGTTGTGTTGCGTTGTGAAACTATCTTGATAATTTCATAATTCAAGTGATATTTCTTCCATAGTAGGGTTTCGATCCTCGGGTTGGATCGCAGATTTGTTGAAAAAATTGGAAAATCGAAAAATGAATTATCAAACTAGCTTTTTTTATTCATTACACAATGTACTGCATGTATCGGCCATTGCCGCAGGTAACATTTATACAGTGATAAAAAATAAAATATGAAGTTCGGGACGCCCAATTTATCTGCAATTTGAACGTAGTTACATGTATTATAAAGTCATTGATTATAGGAGATCGAAACTTTAGAATTCTTGATCAACGAATTCTTTAATTTTTCGTATCCTTATGGAATAACAATTTCCGGGTCAATCTTTTTTGCCGATCACGATTAATGATGTTTTGATATCTTTATACTATGAGCCCCTTGCACTTCCAATCCAATTTGATGTTTTTGAAAAAAGGCATCAAGCTCTAGTCCATTCAAGAAAGGAGGATGATATTCAGTAATAGGTTCCTCATTAATAATTTCCTTAGCTGTCTGGATGCATCTGGTTTGGAATTTGCGATTTTTCTTAGCTCAACACTCTCAACATCATATCTAACATTCTCTCTCTATACTTCTCCAACTTCTCAAGCTCAGATGACATAATTAAGAATATTTTTATTCATTACGGGAATTATTAAATATTATACTACGAATGAATATAAAGAATTGCTTTATTAATACACACAAAGATAAATACAGAGTTCGGGACGGAGCCATAATACATGCAAATAAATACAAAGGATATGGTGACCATTGGCCAGCCGATACATGGCGAATTTTCTATGCTTAGAACTATCTACAGTTTTGATTTTTCTGCAAGATTACTCGATGACCTATGCCTTTTTATTACCCTTGGTTCCTCTCTACTTTGTGAAACTTCCACCGGCTTCATACAATATGGTACCCATTGAATTCCCTTTAAATAAAATAAATCTATTATTTTCAATCATCTATTAAGTTAAACTTTACCTATTTATTCAAAGTATTTTTTTTTTTTTTTCATATAAAGTCGTTCGAATTTCTGATAGGGATGTGTTTCAGTCTGAGTAGAATGGTCTGAAACGGTTTGAAGACCGTTGTTCTCAGTCTTCGGTCCAAAAACATGAACATCGGCCTTATTACAATATTTAATTTAACATTATGAGGAAGACATCATTAAATGGATTATTTTTAAATTAATTAGGCAATTAAAGAAAATTTTTGATAAATAATAAGCAATACGTAACTAATAAGTAAGTACTCTGTACATATTCAACCTAGAATCAGTCTTTTGAATCAGTTCTAATTAAGGCTATTAAGAACGGTACGGATAGAGGCTTTGAGATCAGTTCAAGACTGATTTAAAGAGCAATCAAAGTTGGTTCGGTTAATCCAGGTTTAAAGTTTGGTCATTCCTAATTTCTAAATATATTAAAAGAAATGAAATCTATTCAAAATATGATCGCGATATTATCAGATATGAATCTGCGTGTGTCAAATGTGTCAAATGTGTCAAATTAGAAATAATCTTTAATAAAAAAATATGAAGAAATCATTCGAATTAGATAAATAAATTTGAATAAATGAAAAAAAAGATAATAAAATAAAGTATTTATTATTATTATTATTACTATTATAATTTCTTTATTAAACATAGAAGGAATAAGAAATAAGGATTAAAAAAAAAATCTACTCTAAAAGAAAAAAAAAAGTGTGACTAATTACGACGCCTTAAGTCTCACATTACTGCCTTTATCCTTCCTTCTCTTTCACTAAATTTATGAGACGGTCCGTGTCTCATCTTTGACTTCTTTTACCTTCCCTCTTTTCTTCGCGTACTTTTTCCTTTTGGCTTGACCTCTAAGATTCTGTTGTCTTTGATTTCTTATGTTGTTAGTAGATTGTAATTGATATTTGATACCAACGTTTCGTTATGTGCCAACGGTACGTTCTGTTACGGAGATAAAAAATCCCTTGCGTAAATCTTTGTAGTTTGTAGGAACTCGAAATACCCTATTAATTGATTTTGAAGTTTCATTATCTTAAGGATTTGATCTTCAAGGAATGCAATTTTCGAGTATCATTGTACCTGCACGTCTCCCAAATCTTTTTCAGCTTTTTATATCAAACTTTGAGAAGGTCAACGAATAAAATACAATATCTTACTTATGATTGATCACCACCATACTATTCAATTCTATAATCAAGAACAAGAAATATTTTTAATTAGTAACATATTCTTGCTTTTTGTAGTATATTTAATCAAACTTACTATTCTATGATTACGAAATTCTTTGATTACCTCGTAAATATTGCAACTTCAAAGTCTTTATGTAATTATAATGTATAATACCATTAAAAACTGTAAAATCTCGTTGTTTATTTTTTTCCCTCACTGCAAGACGTAAAACTCTCCCGTAAATGATGACAAATTTAGATATAACTGCCATGAAAAAAAGGTATCAATTGATTATTATGAAATAAAGAAGGTGAAAGAATTTCAGACTGAAGTATTACCTAATAAAACGTGAAGTACGTTGTTAATTCTTTTAAATTGGGAAAATTTAAATAAAAAATTATTATAATCATGCCTAGTATACAATAGAACTTGATGGAAATTCGGTGAAAGTTTCTTGAATATATCGGTCTTTAAAAAAAAAATTCTAAGAAAAATAAATATATATTTACATGATAAGTTTCAATAGTCTCATTAACAATCACAAACCTTGATATAAATATTATCATAATCGTTTTATTCCTTTAACATAATATCATCCAGAATTCGTGATCTTATTGATTGAAAATATCATTTTTTTTTCTTGCCATTAACGTTAACCGTAAGTTTCATTTGAAATTATTATTGTACTATTTAATTGTCTTTTTTTTTTTTATAAATATAATTAACTAATAAAACTTGATCTATTGTCTAATGTTTACACAAGTCTTTCGAGAAGTGAGAAAAAAAAGATCGATCAATTATTTATTAGATCTATATATAGATGTTACACGATTTTTCTTAACAAATTAATTAGTCGAAACGCACTTTTATATTATTTTTAGAAATAATAAATATGATCTTGGATTATTCGGACACATGAATTTTTCACTATTTACAGCAACAATTTCTGCGACACCATCATTATCATTATTTCATTATTTAAAGTACCAACTAAATCACAATTTTAAAAAAAAAATCTTCCAAACTAGCTTAATTAAATGTTATTTTATTTCTTCTGATTTAAAGTTTAATTATAACAATTAAGAAATAGAAAAATTCACAAGTGTTTGCATCTACACTGATAAATCTATAGAAAGCATAATGTTATATTCAAATAATTCACTACCGTCACAAAACTCTCCTCCGATGTTCAACATCATGCTTTATTTAAATTTAGCCTTGGATCATTTTCAGCAACTAATCCACGACACTTTCCTTTTACGTTGTTTGAGAACAGATTTCTCACCGCTTGCTCGGTTTCAAGCAATTTGTTCTAAATAGAATAATAGATCCATAGGTATGAGTAAGCAAGCATTTATGATTATCGAAAAAAATAATAAATAGTTTTACCTCAAGTGATTTAAGAACACAGTAAGTATCCTCCAGCATGTTGCAATAATTTTTATTTAATGGTAGGGTACATTGATCAATCAATCCGAATCTGTACATACCATTTCCTCTCCAATCCATCGCATAAAAGTTTAGTTTTAATCCTGCGTTATCAAATATATAAAATTAATTAAAACCATCAGCCATTCCAGTATCTGCTATAAATAAAACATACCAACTTGGAGCCAACCATAGACGATGATATCCATACGTTGCTCGTCAAAAACATGCTTACACTTCATTAGTAAATCGTTGAGACTATCTCGCATGACGATCATAAGTGCTACTTTATCAAGAAATCGTTTTTCTTCATGGGCTGTAGGAACAACAATAGGTTGTAGTCCTCCGACGACCTTTCCATAAATCGCTTCAAATTTATTTGATGTTCTAATTAAAATACTTCTCATATCGACTCTTTGTGTATTTAATGAATCCACTTTGATCTCTCCCCTACATATAAAAAAGTATCAATACCGAACATCGCTAACCCGTAAACTAATACAACAAATTTATTTACTTACTTACCAAACATTTTGAATATGATCAGATGTAAAGATACCACGAAATAAAGGGAAAATTAAACTCATCTTTAATTCTTCTTCCGTTAATATACCCTTTGTATTTATTTTTATATATTGAATAGCATTGTCCAACTTTTTTAATGTTTCATAATTTTCATCAATTTCATAGATTCTTTTACAACCATTATCGAAGTATTCCTGGACACTTTCCTCTGCCGGCACGGATTCCCATTTAATACTGTTTGCAAAATCCTGGGCCAATTCTTTTATATCCTTATCTGTGAAATCTGTACCATTCAAGGTTTCATTTGTAAGGTCTAAAATTCCCCAATAAGCAGGCCTATAGGAAAAAAAATATTTTTAAATTATATAAATTGGACTAATTTTACGATCAAGCTAAACTTACGTCATGAATTTACAAGATTTAGAGACTTTAGCTTGGTAATTATGGAAAGTTTCAAAAACATCTACACCAGAAGAGAGTAAATAATCAAAAGAATCCTAATTTAAAGATAATATAATGAGTTTGTTGAATAATATTAATATGTATTTACAATTACTGTCTTAAAATTTACCTTATAAAAATTAAACCCTTTTGATGATGGCAACATAATTTCTTCTTTAAGAGTCATTTCGTTCATTATTGTATCTTTGTAGGGCTCATCAAATGTTGATTCGAAACCATCCATTGATTTATCATTTAAATAATCGTTATCATGTTTTACTGCACCCTATTATAGAGAATATAATTCATGAATTATTTTATACATTAGTGAGCTGTACAAAGTTCATCAACAAGAATATGTAATATTATTAACAAACCTTATATGATTCTCTATATCTTTCATTATTAATTCTTTCATATTGTATTTTTAGTTCTCGAATAAGTTCTTTAGTCTCAGGAAGCTAATTAATATTAAATTCTGTGAGCAAGATAATAATTAACATTTTAACAACTTATTATCTTTTGACGTTTACCTCTTTATCGATTATAAGTTTCCCAGCACATTCGCGAAAATACGAAGCGATTACCATATTTTCATGTATCCACTTCAACGAATCATAAAAATCGTCCAAACACGTCTTATATTGTGGTAAAATACGCATATTTTTACAAATCCAATCGATATAATTGCTTAAACTCCAAAAACTCTCGTCGACAGCGTAAAAATAAGGAAAAGAGACAGGGGGATGCTGTGGTTTAGTTTCTACATTAAAACAACTTTGCATATCGAAAAGTTCGTGTTAATAAAAAATTCGAAGTGAGAAGATTGTTGATCGTAAGGAAAAAAACTATTATGTAAACGCGACATTCGCGACAATTTATTTGGCGGATCACATGAAAATATTATATCACGTGATCCAACGAATAAATGTAATGAAAATTTTTTTTTGATACAGAAACTTCTAACCTTATATAGATTTGAAGAATATTTTACTATATTTGTAAAACAAATTATTTTTTTTCAGTAAAAGTAATTGTCATATTTAATTCATTATTTGTTATCATTAGAATTACGTATATTGCAAGCATTTATCACATGTTAGAACAGACGAATTAATCCTATTACTACTTAATTTATGGTCTTAAACGTTACTTATTTTTCATCATTATTATCTTAAAGAATCTCCTTCATCGATATTTGTTGTTATATACAAAATCATCAAAATAAAATTCGCGCTAAATCATGTGTGATTGATAATCATCAGTCGTCTCTAGTCACTCTAGATTGTTTCAATAGAGAAAGAAGCACAACCATGTGTTTACTCAACACTCATAAATAAAAAAAGCAAATTTAGACGCACTAACATCTGAATAAATTATACAGTAGTTGTATATAAACATAAAAAAAATTATCAAATACCAATTCTCGAAATTGTGCTAGATTTCATTCGTTTACGCAACAAGTTCCATTTGGATTTAAATGATCTAATAATTTTAATAATATTCGAAAAATTTAATGAATTATTATATAACAGATAATGTTTAAAAGTTTTATTCCGAATTTATTAATTAGTGAAAAAAAAAAATAAATATCAGTTTGTTTTATATTAAATTTTTTGAATATAAAGATAAGATTTTTTAAAAAATTTTTTGATAATACTAACAAGTTAATATCATCTTTATTACTAATATCATCTGTTTTATAATTTAATAAATTTATTTTTTAAATTTTTTTTTGTGTTCATGAGGATATTTAAATGTCGGGATAGAGATTTTGAATTTTCAGGATTAAGAATTGGATCGGGATTCTGATCGTCGGGATTTCATACTTTTTTACAGGGGTTTCTTTTGACATAAATAGCCTCTTTATATTATTGCTAATTAAGGAAATTTTGGATGTATTGTTTTTCTGTAAGATCATTGAAATGTACAGACGTATTCCAAAATTATGTAATGCAATTAATCAATATTTCAATGGGATAACGTTGAAAGGTCTCCGACTTTTAAAACGTTTCACCGATAATCATTTCACTAAAAGGATCAATTTTACCGACAGTTATAAAATCTTAATCCACTTATCCTAACCTTATTCTAACTCTAATCCTATTCCCTTACCCAAACCTAGCACTAATCCTAAATGGTGAAATGATCGTCGGCGAAACATTTGTCTTCGAAATTACCCTATCGGTGAAACGTTTTTTGGTGAGATAATAGATAATTGTCGGTGAAATGATTATCGGAGAAATGACTGCGATCTCGTGATGAAATAAATAAACAAATTCCACATATTTTGTAAAAGAAAAACACGACATGATATTTTACAATTTAATATCATACGATAATTACGATATACCAAATTACTGTCTCATACCTTACGAATACTACTAAAAAATACAGTATTCACTCATAAATTGAGAAAAAAACGTAATTTTGTTAATTACAGTATTTTATGATAAACGAAAAATTTAATTAATTATGTTGGTCACCAAAAATTTAAGACACTAGATGACAAATGCTTACCTTCAAGTACTTGGGAATCAATTAAAATATCTATTTTAATTTGGTCTTGCAAAAACGTCTTAAAAATTAATTTTACAACATTAAACCTACACCCCCCTAATTTTATTTTTAATACTCGGAACAAAAGTGTATACTCGTTTATCCTTATTTGTTTGTTTGTTTATTTATTTATATGCGAAAAAATAATTTTCAAGACATGGCTTATTTGTGTAATGAAGCGTTTTTTTTTAAACTTTTGAATGCACAAATTTATTAAGAATAATTTAGTGAAACAAATATTATTATTGATTAAATATAATACGATAATGTTTTTTAAAAAAATTCAGTCGAGTTGCATTAAATAATAAAGTGACTGAAAAATAAATTATTAAGAATTTTTTTTTTTTTTTTTTAAAAAAAAAAATGTCTTTATGTTCTGATTGTAAAAAACCAAATACTAGAATATTTTAGTGTCAAAATTGTAACTCAAAACGATTTCAAGAAAATTTCGATAATTGGACCAGCGGAAATGAATTAATAGACAAATTTATACAAGATGCTCAATTAAAAGCAAGAAATTATAATGAAGTTATAGAATGGATTCCTTATGATCGTTTAAGAAATATATTATTTCTCGCTAGTGGTGGTTTCAGTACCGTTTATAAGGCTATTTGGTTGGATGGATATATTGAAAAATGGAATAATGAAAGGAAACAATGGTGTAGACATATTAATTCAATAAATGATGAAGATTGTAAGAATTCAAAAGCTAAAGATGTTAAATCACCACTTAGTGGTAATGAAAATAGGTTCGGTAAAATAAACGTAGTACTAAAAAGTTTAAATAATTCCAAGAATATTAATCCCACTTTTTTAGAAGAGGTAACGTTAATTTTATTGTAATTCGTTAATTATATTGTCTATTATCTTATTTTATTTTTATATTATAATTTATTTAGTGGGAAAATTATTTAAAATTTGTATATTCGGCTGGAAATGATAGAATACTTTCGGTTCAATTATATGGAATATCCGAAAACGTTAAATTATATGGTCGTATTAAACGAGGTGAAACTCGGAAATTTAATAGACAATTTAATGATAAAAAAATGTAACCCAAATGATAAATATGGTAATTTTATATTACTTAGCATAAATGTAATTTATTTCACGGTGATCTTCATAGTGGTAACTTGTTATTATCTACTGATATGCACGCTCATATAAGTGATTTGGGTTTAAGTCGACCAGCTGATAAACCTTCTAAATCTGGTGATGTTTATGGTGTAATTCCTTATATCACTCCTGAAGTTTTAAATGGTGGACCTTATACAAAATCTTCCGATATATATTCTTTTGGTATAATCATGTGGGAAATGACTTCTGGCGTTCCTGCTTTTAGTAATGTTCCTCACGATTTTGATCTTATCTTGAATATTTGTTGTCATGAATTAAGACCAAGGATCGTTGGAGGTACAGAAGTTGAATACATAGAATTGATGAAAAGATGTTGGGATCAAGATCCTGAAAAAAGACCATCATCTTTAGAATTAATTGATTATTTTAGAACATGGAAGAATGAATATAGATTTAATTGGCACGAAAGAGTACCCGTCCCAGGTAATAAATAAGCAAATAGTGAAAACATATTAAAAAAATTTTACTGACTTATTGTTTTTTTTCGTCAATAGAAAATACATCTCTTCAATATCATCCAAAGTCTTGTTACACGAGCAGATTAATTAATTGCTCCGAATTAAATAAAATACCGTCTAAAACGAAAAATGGTCATAGCAGAATGCCTAGTCATGGTAACAATTATATACAGTACCGATAATTTTTTCTTTTTTTTTGCATTATATTTACTGATTTTTCGTATTTTTTTAAAAAAATAGCTGATTGTCAACTTACCCAGGATATTCTTGAAAGCCTTCAAGATGAATATTTACGAGATTGAAATGATTTTCTATAATTGGAGATACTATATTTTATAATATACCTATCGCAGTCAGGGCGCAGCAGTTGTTATTTTTTGTACTGCGGGATATTCGATACCCGAAAGTGGGCATCCTATAATAATAACAATATGAATGAAATCAAGATGATAATTTTCATGTTTATAAATTTTATTGCGCAATTTTGTGTTAATATATTACATTTTATATATATATATATTTATAAAAAATTAAATCATTTAAATCATTAAGGAATTTAATTTGTTTTAACGGATTTTTAAGAATCTTTTTATGCATACATATTTATATGCCAAAAATGACTTTGGAATTCAGATTATTAAATAAATACATTAATCCCCTGTCGCACTAAGTGTCACTCATGATCACCTTCATACTAATTTTTAAAAATTGCGAGTGATTAGCTGAGTTTATAAATGACCGGGAATCTTCGTTTAGTTATTTCCCGGTCTTATATAGATAGCCGGGAAATTACTAATTTTAGTTTAAAATAGTTAAAATAGTTAATATTTAACAAGATATATTATTATGTTCTGTATCCGATAATTTGATAATTTTGACATCTCACTACAAACTACGTGGTACGATAACGTTGCACTTCATGGTTTTTACTTTGGTCGATTAATCAATCAAATTCCCTATTGTAATATGACACTCAAAAGATCAATATTTTATAAATTTATTTCAGTTTTGTTTTATACATACAATAAATTGTCTTAAATTTTTTACAATTTTTTTACTATAATGACCTAATATACCCCCTATTAAGATAAAAGAACACAATAAATATTCGACATTATTATGTCTTTAATAATTTTATTAGCATTATAAACTGCCAATTCTTTTTATGCACAATCCATATGGTCTAATATCATCATCTTCTGGTACTAGCCAAGTATTATTATACTTACTTAATCTTACAGGGTTAATTCTATTCTGAAAAACAACCTTCCATCTAGCATTCTGGCGCTCAAATTGTGTAGCAAATCTTTCGGCAATACTGATTTCAGGGGTTGAATATATTCCCGTCCCATATGAAAAGCGTACTCCTCTTTCATTTCGATAACCCTCTCTCGCAATTTGTTCTGCATTGTCTACATCAGTCCCATGATAAGAAACTGGCCATTCACGAGAACTAGTACCAACACTTCCCAACCATATTGCATCAGATCCATACCTTCTGGCAACATTAAGAGCAAATCTTTTCCATCCATAAGGTCGTCTGTATAATTCCATTCCACGAAGGAAAGTTTCTCCATTATCACTTATATTTGTAAAGTCACGATCATATGATGGATCTAATAAATCAGGCCTTATAACATAAAAATCATGGCCTCCAACGACTTTAGACAAGACTTGTATTGTACAACCTTTCTGAATATTGTAAGATGTTAGAGTTTTATCGTCATTCAGTTGTTTACCATTAAATATAAGACGTATCATCTTAATAACTGTTCCAAACTTTGCACAAATGACGTTTTTAAACTCAAGAACGGTGATACTTGTATCAACAAACATTGATTGACTATTCCCAGCGAGAGATTCGAAAGGTTTGACGAAAATTTGAATTAGTTTGTTATTATCAGAAAAAGTTACATCTTTAGGAGGATCAATATCTTTGATTTTAATTCGTATTAAAGATTTTTTATAAATAGTATCAAGATCTAAGATTTGAGCGGGATCAATTTTTAAACCATCAGCTTTGCATTCATCATACGTTTTTACGGGACATTTAATTATAGACGAAATCGCTGAGGCAACAAGTGATAATTGAGACATTTAATTTTTTCTAGTTAATTTACTAAATTTAGCTCCCATAAGTTTATCTGCTATTTTCGAAATTATTTTATGAAAAAAAAAGAATTTTTTTACGTTATTTATATCTTTTAAACAATTAATTACTAACCGTTTTTATTACACCATATTTTTTGATGCGATGATCTGCATCAACAAAATACGTCATGAGTACTTGAATATAAAAAATACATATAAATAGAAACAATAATAAAAAATTTAATATTGTGCTCAGCAGTGTCAATACTCAATACAATCACTTGATCCAAACCTAAAGAGGAAAATTTATTCAAATATTACAAAAATTAGTATCATCTTTACCCGAAACCTATAATTTTAGACAATATATTTAAAACATCAAAACAATATTGTATTCATTTCATTTTTATCACAATATCATATGAAGATATCAATCGGTATCATTGTCCGAAGCGTATGCGTAGGACACTTCCATTCTACTCCAAACCATGTGTTGTCTGTCTGCACGCGTGTATGACCAATAAAATCTTAGGATCAGGTGTAATCTTAAATTTGTTTACATGTATAACATTTTTTGTTTATGTCCCCTGATTTAAAATTTCTTAAAAATTTTTATGTCCCTCAGTCCCTGATTTAAAACTTCTTAATATTTCTTAAAAGTTTTTTACGCCATTCAAAAAATAACCAATAAATTTTTTAATTTCTTATAATTTTTTACATGTTTTTTATGTTTTTTAATTTGTATTTGTTTTTTTTTAAAATAAAATTAAAATAACTGAAAATAAATAAAAAATAAAAAAATAAAACAATTGATTTCATAAATAACACTGAATTTTTGATCGTTGTGTTGTTGATTTCTTATTATGAGCATGTGATTTATGACGCTTCGGACGCATCAACGGTTACCGTTTCCTAGTATAATCATATTTTCTTTCAAAAATATAATGTATATAATTTATTTTATCATGTGTTGCTCCGATATTATTCGAAAAAAAATATCACGTTCATTTTACGCATTATAAACGCAATCACGTCTCTTCAATAATTTTATGTATTTTTAATTTTTAATAAACTAAATAAAATTATCTAAGAACGAACAATCTGCAGAGTTTTCACAAGTTTCATTTCAAATCTTAAAAGCTTCAAAATTAAACATAACACAAACATTACATATTGTATATCTGATATCAAATATAATGTACTATTATTATTAAGAACAAATAATATTTCTAAGAGCAATTTATTTTAACCAAAAACCAAGGACAATCAAATTAAAAAGAGTAATTTTTTACATTTTAGGATTGATGTTACAAAGATCTAGTCGACACATTTATCTATTGTCTTACGATTTACAAAATCAAACTCAAAAACATGGCCGAAATTATTTGGTAATTCTTGCCAAATTTGTAGTACCCGTCATAATTATAAATATGTTACATAACTTCATAATGCGGGGCTGGCAGACAATTTCGGCCTGAATTTCGACTTTGGTAGAGTTTCAGTTTCGGGATTGACTGGCCGATACCGTTATGCCAAAATTACTGAGTTTCGGCCAGATGAACATTAAAAATCGCGTAACTATACGATATACTAATACAGTTTCAGATTCCAGAATTGCCAATTGTTTAGTAGGATAATTATTCCTCAGTACAGGTCATTCCTTTATACCCTAATAATAATTGGCAAAACCTTATTTTGATTACAATTTTTGCAATATCGAACAATGACAATACAAATACAGTATACAATTAATTTCATAGTATAATGTAAACTTGGTATATCAAAGTTGCAGTTTAGGGCCAATATTTCGATATCTTAAAAATGAAATAAATAAAATAAAAATAACAAGAGTCCATCATTCATGGGGAGCTGTGAAATTTATAATAAGGAAAAAATGCTGTTTCAGCATTTTATATTAATTTATGAAAAAAATTGCTGAAATGATATTTTTTTCATATTAACCTAAGAAAAAAATGCCGAAATGGCATTTTCGTATCAATTATTGAAAAAAATGCATTTTCAGCATTTTTTTTCATATTGATTTATGAAAAAGTGCTGTTTCAGCATTTTCATATCAATTTATGAAAAAACTACCGAAACAACATTTTTTTTATCTATATAACTAAAAAAATCAATGTCATGTTTAGACTACCCTCTGTATAAATAATTGTGAATTGTGTAATGTGCGGTCTGTCTGCT